TATCTCTATATGAATGAAAAATGTTTTGTGTTTAAATGTCAAGCCTGGGATGCAGAGCCTTGAGAAAGGGCTATAATGTATACTCAGGCTATAGGCAACATTCTTTTAGACAAAGGTGCAGAGCCAGCATGACTAAGCACGGGCAACAGAGCACAAAGTTTAGAGGTAAAAGAATACTTCCAATGTGGAGTCAAGTTTGTTCTTCTCTGCTACTCTTGGACATAGTATATGACTGCCACCATCCTGAAGCAAAGCCAGTCTTCAGAAACAGAGGGAGAGAAGAATGTGTCCTTCACATGCAGAACAGAGATGAGAGACCATGAAGTTCTAAGACTAGAGAGAGAGGAAAAAAATGTCAAAAAGATATGAATCCCTGACAGCTTCATACTTCTTGTTTCTAGATCTTCAAGAAGTTCAAGAAAATTCTTATTCTGTTGTTCTGTGAATCATTTTAACGAACTACCCTATTTTGAATAAGCTGTTTAGAAGTAGCTTGACCGAGATGCAAGGAGAAAGAGTTTCGAAAATGAGAGAAAATCCCAGATTTAATGTTCTTCACAAAGATGTAAATAGAAGCTTTACCTGTGCAATAAAAATAAACTAATTGCATGCACATGGAAAAGTAGTTAGTTGAAAAAAAGAAATGTAGTGAAAGTAAAATTTACACTGCAGAAAATTGACTTAACAGATAGGAGTTTGGAAGTTTCCTAGAAAAGAAATTACAGGATTATGGAATGTGACCATTCTTAAGACTTTTGATCCTGTTTCAAAATTGCTATGAAGAACACTTGAACTAGTTTTGTCACAATTTATATGAGACAACATTCATTTTGCCTTAGTCTAACATTGAGCATTCCTAGGGTTTTAAACTTTTGCCAGTTATGAATCCCAATGTTTTATCTTTTCTCCAAACTGCAAGGGTTTTGTTCATCTAGTAGTCCAGAACATTTTCATGCCTGTGAATTATTTCACAAACTTTATTAATATATGAAAAAATACAGAAAACTTCACAAATTATACATGCACAGCGCAACGTATAGTCACAGTGTCTACACCTATGGAGCCAGCACCAAGATCAAGAAGCAGAATATTACCAACACCCTAGGAATGCTCTCATTTCCCTGGCCAGTTATACCATCTCCCAAAGAAAACCAACTCTCCTTCTAAACCCATAAATTAATTTTACTTATTTTTTAATCTTATATAATGAAGCATGAAATCAGTGTCTGGTTTTTTCCACTGAGTAGTATGTTTCTGAGATTCATGAATGTTTTCAAGTACTGTAATTCACGCATTCTTACTGTTTCTCCTTTTATGAAATGTCACAATTTACTTATTCATTTTACTGTCACGAACATTGGATTCTTTCCATTTGTTGGCTATTATGGACGATGGTGCCTTCAAGTATCAATGATTGTGAATTTACTAAATTTTTTCTTTTCAGTCTCTTCCAATTTTTTAAAAAGGTTTAAAGTTTCATTAGAAAAATCATATGCAAAATAAAAAATATATTTATCAAGAACAATAATGGCATTATTTCATTCAGCAAATTCATTTAAAACATGCGTTACAGTATAGAAAGAGAAATGACAACATAAAGTCTCACACAACTAACTGATCTGGAAAACCAATCCCTTAAAAGGCAACTGTAGTTCCATTTTCCAAGCTCTCTTCTTAAGTTGAGGGTCTTCTGTAATTGGTTTTACATTGTTTTCTCCATAACAAGTTTAAAGATGCATGTCATTTCCTCATCACCAAGTACTTTATTCCCCAAAATGTTTAAACCAAGTACCTGATAACCAGGTGTCTCTGATGCCTCCAATTCTTTTATTTTGTTAAGGAATATGAAACTGTTTTGGAAGTCAACCCAAGATCAAGTCCATACCAAAGTTCTAGCACTTGGATATTTGTCCTTGTTTGCTTTTTAGGAAATACGATTAACAGTCATCAGTAGCTGCACAACTGAGATTATAATGAGTATTTTTTTTTCTGTTTGTAAAGTCTGCCTACTAGGTTCCACCTCTTCCCTGCCCACCCCTGGGAGCTCCACCTCCCCAATCAGATTTAGATTTGGGAGGAGGTGATTTTGTTCCAAGTCTCTCAATTTCTTCTGTGGTCAAATTATATGAGTTATTTAAGATTTTTCAAAAAGGAAGAAAAAAGAAGTCTCTTTTTATTGTTTCAACAAAAAAATATTAAAAGCCTAAGAGAGGGTTTCCCTGGTGGCGCAGTGGTTGAGAGTCCGCCTGCCAATGCAGGGGACATGGGTTCGTTCCCCGGTCCGGGAAGATACCACATGGTGCGGAGCGGCTGGGCCTGTGAGGCCATGGCCACTGAGCCTGCGTGTCCAGAGCCTGTGCTCCGCAACGGGAGAGGCCACAACAGTGAGAGGCCCGTGTACCGAAAAAAAAAAAAAAAAAGCTAGGAGAAGTTTACCATCTGTCCCAACTCCATTCCATCAAGGCTGTCAAACAGCTTCCCACTTGCTGCGACAGCAGTGGCAGGATGCCCATTATCAACTACTGTCAGCACTAGTATGATAATCCAGATTGGGTCTTTTTCACTCCTCACTTCATTTCTAAAAAGCAAAAGCCTTTGTAATTAGTTGAAATCTATCAGAATAAATTCAGTCTCTGAAAGTGAGAGTATTTGTGTTGCTCCATTCTGTTCAGTTACATGCACATGACAAAAGACAGGATGACTCATTTATTCTGGACAAAACCAGACAGTGACAACTGCAACGGAGGTTGGCTAAAATATTCCTGCAGCTTGGAGAAACTAAAGCAAAGTGCTTTAGTTCCACTTCTTCCTCCTCCTCTGGGAGCTCCACCTCCCCGATCAGATTTAGATTTAGGAGGAGGTTATTTTGGTCTAAGTCTCTCAATTTCTTCTGTACATCCAGTCAAGTAAGAATTTGGGGCACTGAAGTAGGATGCATACGTTTCTGCATACGTAGTTGCTATTTGTAAGAGTTGGTCCAGCTGCAAGCCAGCCTGGTCGAATTGTACTATCTCTTCCAAATAAATGAAGGCGTCTTCTACCAAGACAAAAAAGTTCAATTATATGAAAAATTTCTACAGGCTTTTCTATATTGCCAATTTCAGTTTCTTCTGTGATAATCAAGTCAATGTCAACAATAGCATGAATGAAGTCCCATCTGTGCTACGCTTAACAGTTCCTTTGATCCCCATAAAGCAGTGTTCCTTTGTTCTCTGGAAGACAGCCTTTGGATCTAAAGTCTTGGTCTTCCCAGGATTGTTTTTATTGGTTTTAATCCAACAAATATCTTCACATCTGTATGTTTACTTGCATAAACACACTCTTCCAAGGTCCAATCCCTCCCCAGAACCACACCAGAGAAAAATAAATGATCGAGGTGCTGCAAACTCATCAATTTCTAACTCCATGATATCACCCCAAGTCCAGCATTTTTCATTAGCAGTGATGCCAGTCTCTCTGTAATATTCTTCTAAAGGGGGTTCAAGAAGAATCACATCGAATTTGGGTGTTAGTTCTCTGATGTCAAAGGCTTCTATATCTGCTTGTAAGTACATAGGAGGAGTGTTAGATTTACCTGTTAACTTATCCTTCAGCCTGATGAGCTCCCTCAGTTTAGGGTATTCTTCAAATCTGTCAGCCAAACCTACATCTCTGATGAAATTTTGAGCTCTATGTCCAGTGTCTATAAAATGTTGGCAATAATCATTATGGGGATTTAAACTCTGTGTTCCCTTAAGAAAAGTACTAGAATCTTTGTAAATCTCTTCTTCATATGGCAAAATCTCTTCCTCCTGTTGCATTTCTTCTTCTTTTTTTTGTGGTACGCGGGCCTCTCACTGTTGTGGCCTCTCCTGTTGCGGGGCACAGGCTCCAGACGCGCAGGCTCAGCGGCCATGGCTCACGGGCCTAGTCGCTCCGCGGCATGTGGGATCTTCCCAGACCGGGGAACGAACCTGCGCCCCTGCATCGGCAGGGGAACGCTCAACCACTGCGCAACCTGGGAAGCCCGTCCTGTTGCATTTCTAATTCATCCTTATATTCTTGCATTTTGTCTTCATCTGTCTCTCCTTCATCCTGATACTTAACGTTTTGCATTTGGAGCAGAAGTATCATAGGAAGCCCTGCAAGTTTCTCTTGTTTCAGCAATTTCTCTCTGCTCGTCTTTGCTATTTAACACAGCATCAATACTGGCAGCACTTTCAGCTCCCAACTGCTGCACGAGAAGCTGTCGCGGTAACTTCCGCCGCTCCCGGATCTCCTGCAAGTGGCTCTCCATGTCTCAACCCTTGTTTTCCACTACCTCGAAAACTTGGCAATTAGCGGATGAATACCCGCCCAGTTTTTCTTCGGAGACTGTGGAACACAAAATTCTCCAGGAGCTTCAGGCGACGGGTACCCGGTATTTTTTCAATAGGTGTTTCCTCTTCCAATGTATTTATGCTTCACAAGTTTTTCTCCATTTGGGAATTAAAAACTCATTCAGCTATATTTTTCTAGTTCTTCAAAATGATTTTGTCTTAAATATTTAACTATTAAATACACTTTGAATTAGTTTATTGAGTGATATGTTATGAATACATCTATTTTTAATCCAAATAGTTAAATAATTGCACCATTACATGAAGTAATCCACCTTTGAAACTTCGATCTTTAGTGCAGATTTTTTTTTTTTAATGTATTTATTTATTTATTTATGGCTGTGTTGGGTCTTCGTTTCTGTGCGAGGGCTTTCTCTAGTTGTGGCAAGCGGGGGCCACTCTTCATCACGGTGCGCAGGCCTCTCACTATCGCGGCCTCTGTTGTTGCGGAGCACAGGCTCCAGACGCGCAGGCTCAGTAATTGTGGCTCACGGGCCCAGTTGCTCCGTGGCATGTGAGATCTTCTCAGACCAGGGCTCAAACCCGCGTCCCCTGCATCGGCAGGCAGATTCTCAACCACTGCGCCACCAGGGAAGCCCTTTAGTGCAGATTTTGTGAGCTCATAAATTATTCACAGCTGCATGTGTTTACATGTGTTTTCTTTATTTCAACACCCATACTGATTTTAAACCGAAGAATTAATGTTTAATTAGAAGAAATAAAGGACTTTTAATGTTGATTAATTCTAAATGTAATTATAGATAAAGAAAAAAATACACTCAACAGAAATCTCAATCATTTGAGAAATCTCAATCTCAAATCAAAAGACATGCAGAATTCATTTTGCATGCTATTTTTCCTTTTGTCATATTGGCTACCAATGCCGAATATTACTCAAATCATTTTAATTTAAAATGTTCAAAATGTCCATCAAACTCATGGCAACTAATGTAAGTACAGCTTACTCATTTTGCTTATTAATAAAGTCGTATAATTAACATTTATGTGAGCAGCACAAATTAGTATGTATATTTAAAATATGCTTTCTGGCTGGTAGATTTTTTATGTGATTGTTTTACACTGATTCTACTCCTCATTTATATCCCAGATGAACTTCAAGGGAAAATCTTTCATCTTCATTTGGAATATTCTGTCAAATCTTTCATTTTGCTCCACGGTCAAGTGATGTTTCCAGTCTCCGATGGTACCTAGTGGGATAAGCACATGGACAGCACTTGGTGAGGAGATAGCACTATCAGGACAAAAGTTTCCTGCAACCCACTCTAATCTGTTCTCCAAGGCAAGCTAAATGTCTATCTGTTAGTTCCCCATGGGGCTTGATACCTTACTTTTTTCTTATACAGGGATGAGCTAAGAAAAAAACTTAGGATGCAGTAACACAGAAAATAGAGTTATCGTCCACTACCTTATGTATTAGACTTCCACCAGCCACTGCATTAAATTATAGCCTTTCCTTAGAAGGAAAAATAAAGCCAAAATACATGAAGAGATTAAAATATTTAAAAATATTTCAGTAAGTGCCAGGCACCACACTTGTCAAACTACATCTATCATGAATATAATTCTTAACCAACACTTCAAGATAAGTACTACTTCATTAAAAAAATTGGACCCAAATGTTTTCATGTAATGAAATCAAAGTCACAGAGGTTGGCCAGAGCCGCCATTGCTGCAGTTTTATATGACAAAAGTTTGAAACCATCATTATTCAGACAATTTTACAATGAAGATTAATAATTTGGCATTTTTAAGGTATCAGATTTTCTTATGTAAAGGTTATTGTTGGAATGTGGAATAGTAAGCAAGCTTTTATGGGCATGAAAAATGCTTTATATGTAATCTGATTGAGCAATGAGAAGTGAAAACTGATAATACATGGGACAAAAGAAGAAACAATAACTTTTTAAAATATCAATATCTACATCAATTTCAATAAGATCTTTAGATAATTAAGATCAATCAATGCCCATCACATAATGCTAACTTATGAAAATTTTAGGGAATAAAATATGAATAAATTAGAGAAGTACCCATTATGTTTTAGAATGGTGTACCTTAAAAAATTAAATTAAAAAATTTTTGAGCTTAAGGAGTATCAGAAGGAAAATATTTTCTTTCTTAACAACTCCTGGCATGTTATAGGAGCACAATAAAAATGTATCACACATTGTTGAATAATTGAATAGCAGATTAGGTTAATGAGGTATCAGTCTACTTTTGACAATGAAGGAAATCTAACACATGAGGAAATTACAATAGTTCAAACCCCGTCTCTCAAAACAAAATACATGTTAACTTTACTTCTAGGATGTTCTAGGAAAAATAAAACAAAGACTTGCAGCTATTCTGGTCACATATATCCTTTGCCTCCAGATAAGACTTGTTAACCAATTTTCAAGAGTAGGGTCACTTGTACTAGAAGGAAAGAATCTAATATTTATAAGTCAGAATGGTTCTGTTTCCAGGGATACTTTTAGAGGCTATTTTCAGTTAGAATCTTTGGTCCTCTCTAGGGCCCAGATGGCAGTGCTCGGAAAGAAATGTTGGAAGCACTCCTTAATTAATCTAGGGGCCAAGGAGTCAAGAAAACGTTCAACATTTTGCTCCTCTTAACCACTGAGCATCATCACCTTTGCGCAGGAAATCTCCTTCTTTTGTTCTTGTCCAGTTTTTAGCTTTTAGAATATAATCGTAATTTGCTTGTGGATCAAGTTTCATGTTCTGAAATGTAGCCTGGTTCACAACAGCATCCAAGTCCTCTTCACTCAGTTCTTTTTCAAGAAAACTGCTGATTTTAAGCACAGAACTTCTGAGATCCTGAAAAAATTGTGTGTATAAGAGTCTATTAAGCCTATAAGGAATACATGAGTTACAGACCAACATCTTTATCACATATTGGAAAACTGAAAGTGCTTGGGGTTATTCTAAGTCTAAAGTTTGACAAGAATATATTCCTACCTTATTTGTTCTTTGAAAATGAGTGCTCCGGTTGTCAGCTCTGTTAGAGCATCCTACTGTTTGATTTTATAAGGAGAACTCACCTCAATTCATTCAAATAACCAACACTATTAGGATACCTAATAAGTTTAAAAAACTGTGCAAGATGCTGGAGAAGGTTAAGAGAATAATAACATGCTATCTGAGTTCATTAAGAACCCACAGTATCATGAGGAGTAGAGTCAAGCAAGTAATTAAATACCATGGGCACAAGAAAGAAAAGCCCAGGTTTGGATGGCTTCTTTGGTGACTTCTACAAAACATTTAAAGAATTAATATCAATACTCATCAAACTCTTCCAAAAAATTGAAAAAAAGGGAATACTTTCAAACTCATTCAATAAGGAGCATTATCCTGATACCAAAGCCAGAAAAACACTATGGGAAAAGAAAATTAAAGACCAATATCATGAAAGATAAAAATGCAAAAATCCTCAACAAATTACTAGCAAAATAAACCAAAAACACATGAAGAGAATTATATACCATGATCAAGTGGGATTTACTCCTGTCATGCAAGCAAGGTTAAACATATGATAATAATGTAATGCCACATATACAGAAACGGCATGATTATCTCAACTGATGAAGAAAACGCATTTGACAATATCCTTCACCTTTTTGTGACAAAACACTGAATGAAGGAAGAATAGAAGGAAACTACCTCCACCTAAAAGGTCATATATGAATTATCTACTACTAAAATTGTACTCAGTGGTGACAGACTGGAAGATACTTTGCAAAGATCAAGAACAAGGCACTTTTTTTCAACATAGTACTGGAAGTCCAAGCCAGAGCAATTAGGTAAGAAAAAGAAATAAACAGCATCCAAACTGAAAAAGAAGTAAAATTATTTCTCTTCACACAGACAATATGATTTTATACACAGAAGACCCTAAGATTCTGCAAAACAAACTGTTAGGACTAATATACAAATTTTAAAATGTTGCACAGTACAAAACCAACAGGCAAAAGTCAGTCACTTTTCTATATAATAACAAAGAAAAATCCAAATGGAAATTTTTTTAAAATTCCATTTACAAGTTCAGCAAAAAGAAAAAAATACTTAGGAATAAACTTAACCAAGAGGTGAAAGATTTGTGTACTCAGAACTGCAAGCCACTGCAAAAGAAATTAAAGAAGACACAAATTACTGGACCAACATCTAATGTTGATGAATTGGAAGACTTAATAATGTCAAGATATCAATACTACCCAAAGTGATCCACAGATTCAATGCAGTCCTTATCAGTATCCCAGTGACATTTTCTTCTACAATTTATGTGGAATCTCAAGGGACCCTGAAAGTCTAAAGCAATCATGAAAACAGAGAGGAAAGTTGGAGGCATCAGACTCTTGAGTTCAAAACTTACCACAAAACCACATTTATCAAAACAGTGTGGTGCTGACATAAAGTCAGACAGATAGGTCAATGGAACAGAATGTACAGCCCAGAAAGAAACCCCTACATATAAGATCAAATGAATTTTGAGAAGGGTACCAAGATCATTCAATGGAGAAAGGACAGCTTTTTCAATAAATAGTTTTGAGAAAACTGAATGTTTACATGCAAAAGAATAACTATGGTATGCTATTTATACCATTTACAAAAATTAACTCAAAATGAATTAGGCTTAAATATATTTCTCCAAGGATAATATATAAAAAATGTATAAGCACATGAAAAGATACTCAACATTATTAATCACTAAGGAAAAATAAAACAAAAACCACAATGAGATACCTCACAAGGACTAGAATGGCTATTATTTAAATAAATAAATAAATAGAATAAGTGTTGATGAAGATGTGGAGTAATTAGAAACACCTCGTGTACTACTAGTAGGAATAAAATGGTGCAGTCAGTATGGAAAATAGTATGAATAGAATGGTGGTTCCTCAAAAAATTAAGTATATAATTACAATATCATCCAACAATTCCACTTGGGGGTATAAACCCACAAGAATTCAAAGGGGTACAACAAAGGGGTACTTCCCTTGCTACGTTTCTGATAGTATCTTTTGTTACCTGGGTAGGCTTTCTCTCCGTACCCAAACTATTTGTCTTAATGTCTCTCAATTACAGATTCTAGTTCTTTTTTTTCTCTCTCCTCTTTCTCCCTTTCTTTCTTCCTCCTCTTTTTCTACCTTTCTCCCTTCCCACTCTCAATTTTATGCATAATCATAGTTTCAGTTATAGTCTATACAGTGATACAAAGATAACTAGGAGAATGCAGTTCATTAACCAAGATAAGAAAAGGTCTCAAAGGAATAATTTTAAAAACAAAACAGTCCTCCTACCTTCTTCATCTCCTCATACATCATGAACAAAATATTGAAGTCATGTCTGTGTTCATACCAGCCTCTGATATGATCAAACCAAAGGCTTCCCATCACTGTGGAAAATTAATACATAAGAAGGTAAAAATGTTGTACTTATTGAACAGCAAGCTACAGTTTTTCTTTTCTGCTCTGGATCATCAAGACAAATCAAGCACCCACCACTGGACTAGATCTATGCTACCTTTTTAAAATGGTGTTTGAGCAAACAAGTAAATGGTTTTCACAGAAACCTGCCTTTGCAAGGTACTCTGTGTATGTAAGGAATAGGGAATTCAGAAAAAACAATCTCAAAGAATTCATTTTGAAGATTTCTTTAAGGTAAGCCCCTTCCTTTTCCTACTTCATCCACCTGAAAACATAAGTCTTTATTTCCCCTCTTGTTGTCTGTTTTAAAATCTGTTCAGAGCAAGTTTAGCTATCTATTTATATTGGGCTGGCCAAAAAGTTCCTTTGGGTTTCGCCATGTTACAGAAAAACCCGAAGGAACTTTTTGGCCAACCCAATATTTAGCTAACCTGAATATAATTTTTGAAATGAGTGAGAGCCCTGACTGCACATTCCACAAGCCTCTTGCATCAATTAATCCTCCTCAGTGCTGGAATGAACATTTCACAGCTGCCATATAAGGCCTACCCAAGGGCCATGACAGAGCACAACAACTTCACCCAACCTAAACATTAGCTATACTGAAACACCTGGATCTAACTTTGGATCTAGCCAGTTTGAATTGCTAGGCCATTTGTAGATCTCTTTTCATTTGGTCAAAATATATCTTTGCAACCTTGACAATCCCCAGAGTGGTCCTGCTGAGGATAGAAAAACCTTTGGGTGACAGATTAAGTTGACAGACAATAGTGACTGCTTATGTGCAATTCCTCCTTCTATGATTATCCTTCTCCATCTCCCCAAACTTTTTTCCATGGGTTTGAGAATTGTTGACTAAACAGAAACATTGCCTCATAAAACGTTGCCTGAGAAATGAATTAATAGTTACCTTTTCCATCTAGAAACCTTTTCATGAAATGTTCTATGTTATCGGAAGGTTCAAATGTAACTAACCAATTTGAAAAATGAAAATATGAAGTCAAAACATCCTTGGGGTTTCTATAGATGTAAACAATCTGCAGGGGGAAGAGTGAAACAATTTTAACAATTCTGGGTCATCTTAACAGATATTTTAATATCTACATAGTATTACATCATATGAATGCATAATAATTTATTTTATCTAGGAAAATCATAATACTGCTTTAGGGAAAGACAACTAATTTTGAAAAAAGCATAAGAAAAAGGAAAAATGTTGTGGAATTATGAAGGAAACAGGGTCAGATATACTTATAATGTACTTTAATTAAAACTTCAAAAAATTCTGTTGATTTACATTTATAACTACTTGATAACTTAGCAAAAATACCAAAAGCTTCTAAACTTATTTACAAGACTAGAATAAAAGCAATACGAAAATAAAGATAGAGCAATCACAAAAAATTAAAGTATATATATATATATTTTTGTGTGTGTGTGTGTGTGTGTGTGTGTGTGTGTGTGTGTGTGGTATGCAGGCCTCTCACTGTTGTGGCCTCTCCTGTTGCAGAGCACAGGCTCCGGACAAGCAGGCTCAGTGGCCATGGCTCACGGCCCCAGCCGCTCCGCAGCATGTGGGATCTTCCCGGACCGGGGCGCGAACCCGTGTCCCCTGCATCGGCAGGCGGACTCTCAACCACTGCGCCACCAGGGAAGCCCTAAAGTATATTTTTAAATAATTACAGATAAAAATTTCTGAGTAAAAGAAAACAAAACTCTTCTTGCAGTATGTTAAAACAACTACTAAACTATAAACAAGTAGGATTTATTCCAGAAATAGAGCATTAGTAAATTATTAATGAATTTCATTTCACTATAAATTGAAGGGAGGTTTGGGGAGGAGGGGAGACGTGGTACTGTCAGATTTGTCAAAAAAGGCATTTTATGTAAGTAGACCTTTTCTGAACAGCAAAAAGAAAAAAAAAAAGTAAAACTCCAATTAAACTAAGAACAGGAAAAAATTATTTCTCAGCATCATGTGCCTCAAAAATCAATTGCAAAACAAAGCAAAACAAAACAAAACAAAACCAAGAAAAGACATTAAAAATGCTACAAAGACAAGAGAACAACATTCATCATCACCTCCATTATTCTGTTTTTTTCTGCAGATTTTAACTAAGGAAATAGAAGTGCAAATATTGGAAAGTAAAGGAATATAAAATGTATTATTAAGAAGAAATATATTCCAGAGAATATAGGGAAAATTAATAAAACTAATAAGAGAAATTAAGGAAGCCAAATATAATAGTGTACCTAAATCAGTGCCATTTACTTTAAACAGAAAAAATAATTGTGAAAAAATTACCTGTTCATAATATCCATAAAATAGGAATAAAAAACTGCAACTTCAGAAAAAAAAATGTGTAAAAAGCATGCAGAGAAAAACATAGCACATGAGGTGGGTTTGAAAGTAGACCTGATAAATAGAGCATCAGAATAATGCAGGATGAAATGTTGGAGCACTGCAATGCTAATGATTGTCCTAGAATTAATCTATATAATTGATCAATTCTAATCAATATCTAAATATTATTGAGGGAATAAACATATTAAAAATAAAGTTGATGGCAATTTACCTTATCAGTTATAATATGAAGAACTATCACATATTAAACAGATCGTACCAATTTTGGTATGAAGAATGCAGGGTCAGAGGGAGGAACTATGGAAATGTAATATATCAAAGTGCAGACTTCAAATTAGTTGGAAAGACTAAATACTTAACAACTCATAGATGGTCAACTGGCCAACCCCCTAGCAAATATCATGCAATAGTCGTATTTCAAATCACATGTATTGCCAGATATAATTTACAGTGAAATGTAAAAAAATAAATACATAAAGTTAATTAGAAAAAATCTGAAGTGTATTTGCATATATTTTCTTTTTTTGGTGAGGAAATGTTTTCTTGGCAAGACACAAGATCCAGAAACTATGAAAGAAAGATTGATAGGTTGATTCTATAATATTAGAATCATTCAACAATTTGTAAAGGTAAATTGTTAATTGGGAAAATATTTCCCCCATATAAAGACTTCTGCAAAACAGTAAATAAAAGACAAGCTAGAGAAAGATGGGCAAAGAATATAATAGATATTTCAAGATCTCAAAATATATAAAAAGATGCTCAAAATTATTAAAAACAAAAAGGTTGCAGTTACTTAAGAATGAGATTGCTTTTACCTAACACACAATCTCTGGTGAGTGTGTGAGGAAAAAATCATTCTTGCTATTTGAGAAGTGTGAATTGATACATTATAGAAGGCAAATAGATAATAAGTACCAACACAAAACTTTTGGACACTTTAACCTGAAAATTCTACTTTTAGGAAATCATTTCATCAGAACAAAAAAGTGCAAAGATCTATGAGAATGTTTATTGCTATATGATATGTTCATTGGCTGCCACCTACCTGTCCATCAATACACATTCAATATTGTGTAGTCATACAGCAAAATCCTACTAAACCATTAAAAAATAGAACTATATATGCTGATATAAAATTATTTTTACTATATGTTACATAATTATACTGCAAACAATGATGTATGGTGGCCCAATTTATATATATACTTATAATTTTGTATATATTTTTATTATGTAAAACAAGATTATAAAGACTATAGTAATCACATTTGAAAAGATGTGGATGAATGGGGCTGGAAAACAATATCTGAATAAAGTAATTTTGTCTGTGAAAAATGTCTATAAGCTATTTCTGTGACTTACTTTAGCTTTTCGGTTCTTGAGACCTTTCGGTGCTAAATAATATGGGAGGTGGGAAGTGAAGAGACGAGGGGATGGTCTGTTGACATGGTCCACTTTGTGTTCACTGTGTTCCAGGAAGGGGACTCTATCACATGTGTTCACCAGTTCACTTCTGTTACGATGTCCTTCAAAATAAATCAAGCTTAATATCTGCTGAGTCCAGATTGTACCTGTGAAAACAAATAATCTTGTTTTCAACTCTGAGTTAATTTTTAATTATAAATGTCAACAGTAAGGCTGTCCTTCTTAAAATTATTTGGAACTTTTATTTCTTTTAATCACTCTAAGGATGCCAATAATTTGCCCAATTTTTTGTTTGTCTGCATTTACATTAAAATTAATGAAGATAAAATCAAGGACTCAGTTTCTTTTTCACTCTGAAGAGCTGTGATGGTTCTGACTCCATGATAGCAGTGATTCAGATTAATCTTTCAGCTCCTCTCTTTCCTGTACTTCAAGTAAAGTCTGTTTCCACAATTTTCTCTGGCTACCTTTGTTTTTCTTTCCCTTAGTCTCCTTTCTTAGAGTGTTATCTTTTAGAAGACAAGTTAAGGGCTTCCCTGGTTGCGCAGTGGTTGAGAGTCCGCCTGCCGAGGCAGGGACACAGGTTCGTGCCCCGGTCTGGGAAGATCCCACGTGCCGCGGAGCGGCTGGGCCTGTGAGCCATGGCCGCTGAGCCTGCGCGTCCGGAGCCTGTGCTCCGCAACGGGAGAGGCCACAAAAGTGAGAGGCCCGCGAACCGAAAAAAAAAAAAAAAGTAAAAAAAAAATGATGGCTTAGATATACACTGGTTGACATAGAAAGATATTCTCAATGTATTGGATTGAGTTATTTAAACAGCATGTTATAAAACACTATAAATATTCAAATGTTCTAATCTATTTTACAATGTCTTCATTACTTTTTAGTTACTTTTGTAATAAAATAACTAGTCGTATTGTGGATAATAGATAAATGAGCAAAGTACTGAGATAATTCACAAATGAAGAAATAAAAATGGCCAATAGGGACTTCCCTGGTGGCACAGTGGTTAAGAATCCACCTGCCAATGCACGGGACACAGGTTCGTGCCCCGGTCCGGTAAGATCCCACATGCTGCAGAGCGGCTGGGCCCGTGAGCCATGGCCGCTGAGCCTGCGCGTCCGGAGCCTGTGCTCCGCAACGGGAGAGGCCACAACAGTGAGAGGCCCGCGTACCGCAAAAAAAAAAAAAAAAAAAAAGTTAAGAACTCAAGTCCTCTTTTACTTTTTTTGTTTACTTATTGTGTAGCATAAGTCTTCCCACACAATATTGAATAACAGTAGTGACAGCAGGCATTCTTTTCTTGTTCCTGATTTTAAATGTAATATTTATTTGTATCATTGTTGCACACGATATTGTGGAAATTTTGGTAAACTCTATCAAGTTGAAGAAGTTTCCTTTTCTCCTTAGTTTGCTAATGGTTTTCATTATGAATGACTGCTGAATTTTTTGAATGCTTTATTGAGATGATAATTCAGGCTTTCTCTTATACTTCAGTAATGTGGGTGAACTACATTAATAATTTTTTAAACCAATCTTGACTCTTGAAAGAAACCCACTTTTGTCATAGTGTATTTATGATTTAACATTGCTAAATGTGTTTTGCTTATATTGGGTTTAGGATTTTTGCATTTTTGTCCATGAATATATCATCAATGTTCTAAAAGGATGTGAGATGCCAAAAGTCTCACAATGTCACTATGCAACTGATGTACCTATGTGATAGATTTGATGCAATTTATAGTGAATCCTGGGGAGACTCACTAATCTCCCCTCCAAGATGAGCAAGAATCCAGCAAGCTGCACTGGGGACTGGTGTGTTGTGTCCCAAACACTAGACTAGGATTAATGGGAAAGAAAAGACTCTTTTATGGACTGCTGTGCTTGACCTAAAACTAAGCAAACTGAGATACCACTAACACCTAATGCAGGAAAAAAAAAGCTCAATCAGATGTGCTCATAAGTTCTGAGAGTGGAAGAATTCAGGGGTAAAGCAACGTGTTACTAATTTGGGGAAAGTAAACAAGGTCATGATTTTCAAAGTAGATTAAAAGGGAGGGACTGGAGCATTTTCATGAAAATCAGGAATACTTTTTTTTATTGCCTTAGACTCCAGTATATCTTTGAACCACATTAAATACTCTGTACAACATTGCTTCAGTGGCGCCAGTCATCCTATCATCCTATGTTCTGAAAAGTGCAATACAAAAAATAAGGTTGGGTTTTTGTCTTTTTTTTTTTTTTTTTTGGAATTTAAGATTAAGAGCAATTAATTTTAGTTTAAAATTATTGCATTATTCTAAGGAAATAAAAAACAATTAGAGTAATTGAAAAGAATACTAGGAATTAGTTCTGACTGAGATATGATGGTAACAAAAATCTTCCTAGGTTTTTAAATATATTTTCTTCCATTCTCAGACCAAGCCAACAGGTCAGTATTTACCAAGTACCTCCTCTTGGTTCAATATTTGGTTTCTTCATATAGTCCATCAGAAATGACAATATATGCATTACAAATGCATAGAGATTTGAGATTTATTTAACTTTTTGTGATCCTAAACAGTTCTGTAAATGTAGATGGGTTACTGTCAATGTCTGGAAAAAGGCACATTTGTCCACATGAATTACCAAACCACGGTGAAGGCTAAAACAGGTGGCCACTCCTCAAACTTACCAGATTTTGGATATGTAATTATAAACACATCATCATCTCTAATTTCAAAATCATCTAAATGTTCTATAAGGTCAACATCAAGTAAAGAACGTTGAAAATAACAGCCTTTAAAGTTCAATAAATATGTGTCTGTGTTGTCCATAATTATTCACCTACAAGTAAAAACAGATACAATTATTTCAAAGTTCTGAGTATTTCATAATAACGACTAACACTTCCTGAGTGTTCAGTATGTGCAAAATGTCCCATGTGTATCAACTCATTTAGCATACAAACCACCTTCTCTATATTAAATCATTTACTCTTCACAGCAACCCAAAGTTGCTAAAGGTATTGTTATTACAACTACTTCAAGGATTAAGAAACTAAGATACTAAGAGGTTAAACATCTTTTCCTAAAACCCCATGAATGAGTTATAATCATGATTCCAAACATACAGATGAGAAAATTAAGGCACAAGAGGTTCGGCAAACTATTCGAGGTGGCCCAGCTGCAAGAGTGATGCCAATTTAGCCAGAGTCCATGCTTTTAATCACTTTATCATATTTTCTTAATACTTTATTTTTTTTATTTTTTTTATTTTTTTACGCGGGCCTCTCACTGTTGTGGCCCCTTCCGGACGTGCAGCCTCAGCGGCCATGGCTCACGGGCCCAGCCGCTCTGCGGCATGTGGGATCTTCCCGGACCGGGGCACGAACCCGTGTCCGCTGCATCGGCAGGCGGGCTCTCAACCACTGCGCCACCAGGGAAGCCCAATACTTTATATTTTTATCCTTTTTTTTTGTTGTTGTTGTTGTTTTTTGTGGTACACAGGCCTCTCACTGTCGTGGCCTCTCCCGTTGCGGAGCACAGGCTCTGGACGCGCAGGCCCAGCGGCCATGGCTCACGGGCCCAGCCGCTCCGTGGCATGTAGGATCTTCCCAGACCGGGGCACGAACCTGTGTCCCCTGCATCGGCAGGTGGACTCTCAACCACTGCGCCACCAGGGAAGCCCTATATTTTTATTCTTACATTTTTTTCATTGTTCCAGAAATAGAAAATTCTTTAATTAATACAATTTTTATTTCTTTTTTTTTTTCTGGAACATAAATAATCTGCTATCTGTGAAAGAAGCTTCTGAGGCTTTGAGATCTGATACACTGTTTGAAATGAATTGTGGGAAATGTTTTGCATGAGAAATACTAATTGCATTTCCTTTGGAAATGTTCCCTCATATAGTTGCAAGATGTTTTATGGTAATCGTCATGTTTTCCAAAAGGAGTTTTTTATCAGAATTCTGAAATAAATCTAAAAATGAAAGCCAAAAATCAGAAGCAAACTGTCTAAAGATACACCTGTTCAAAAATTGGACCAGGGACTTCCCTGGTGGCTCAGTGGTTAAGAATCCACCTGCCAATGCTGGGGACATGGGTTCAATCCCTGTGGGGAAGATTCTGCATGTTGCAGAGTAGCTAAGCCTGTGTGGCACAACTACGGAGCCCACGTGCCACAACTACTGAAGCCCACGCACCTAGAGCCCATGCTCCACAATAAGAGAAGCCACCGTAATGAAAAGCCCGCGCACCACAACGAAGAGTAGCCCCCACTCACCACAACTAGAGAAAGCCTCCACGCAATAATGAAGACCCAACACAGCCCAAATAAATAAGTAAATAAATAAATAATTTTTTAAAAGTTTAAAATTGGACCAGGCAAGCATTTCTTTATTAGCCATGCCTGAGAAATGTTGAATGTGAAATAGGTGAGGGATCCCAGAAGTTCCAATAACGTTAGATTTAGAATAAGCATATATTTTCATTATGCACTTTAAAAAATTTCTGTGAACACCAAGAAAATGAATTTGTTAAAAAGCTGCACATATGGTTTTGTCTAAATTGCATGTCAAGAAACAATTAATCCCTTTACAAACAATCAAACTTGAAGTGAAAGCCAAGGATGACAGTGTGAGTCACTGTCACATACCTCCTGATGCCCCACAAAGCCACCCCAAACATGCCCTAAAAAACACCAATTTCAGAAACTCAGAATGCTGAGAAGAGAGGAAAGAGTGCCAGGCATTCCACAGAAACATTCTGAGCATCACTCTTTTTTGCTATTTGTAAGCTTAGTCTCTCTTGCACTGTCTCAGAAGAGAGAAAATTAGAGAGCTTTTTGTTACAGAAACAAGAGAAAAAGAGTGTAGATTCATATAGGATCTCAGTATTGGCAAATCATATATTGTTTGTATCTCCTTGATGAATATAGAAGAAAGTGCTTGGATAAAGGGATAGGACATCTAATGTCTCCCTCTTATTCATTCACTGAAGTCTGAAAGAAGAGAAGGAAAAACAGAAAATTGAGGAGAAAAAAATAAGTACATTTGTATGCTGAAGAGAGGGTGAGACTTGAAAAGGCTCTAAATCTACCCTTTTTCTACTCACTGTTACAGATAAACTGAGGAAGCAAAATCCACTTCTGATATAACTTTAAGGATGATAGTGATCCACTTGTGGTTGAGAAAGAAATATTCCCTGCAGAGTTTGTCTTGGCCAATGAGTAGTGTTCCAGGGTGTAAACAGCTAGCTCAATTTGGAAAAATAAATTGGGTAAGATTTAGTTGGCATTAAGATTATCTGTTTACTCCAGAAAAAGCAAAGGAGTCAAATACTAGAGAACTTCAGGTACACAGTAGTCCTGCTTACTTAATTTTGGCATCCGTACAAAACACAAATCAATCTGTGTGATACACCACATCAACAGATTGAAGGATAAAAACCATATGATCATCTCAATAGATGCAGAAAAAGTTTCTGACAAAATTCAAAAACACCCATTTATGATAAAAAAAAAAAACTCTCCAGAAACTAGTTTACCTAGTTCTCCACATTGGGGGGGAATCAGATATCATGAACTGGCTCAGAGGTATGCTAATGCGGAAATGCTGTGTGGGCTATACATTTTATCACTTGTACTTAATTGCCACACAAGCATTGTACATGTGCTTTTAACAATACACTTAAAACAAGCAGTGATACATGTCATGGATAGTTATACTCTGTGACAACTTCACTAGAGGATTTTCTTTTCATCCTGAACATTGGGGTCAAAAGTATGGTTAGAAGTAAAACAATAAATTTCCATTTTGATAGGAAGACAAACACTTGGTAACAGTACAATTGAATTAGTTGGATGGTTCTTACAGGTCTGGTCCAGATTTTTATGTCAGCTGTCTTCCACTGCTATTGTCTTCTTCTCATCCTGGTGTGAGTGTCATTTGGGGTCAGCAGTCTTTTCTATAGACAGTCCAATGCAGAGGCCCTTCTTAAATGGAAATACAAATTCAGGAGTCAATTCCCTTCAGTTCTGTTGTACATGTGCTAGTTAAGAGTACCTGATAAGAGTCCTTTTATTTAGTTTGGAGACAGTCCTTTAAATGATGTCTTTTCCAGTATGCATATCCTCTTAGATAGATGTAGGTCACAGGGCATCTGATCTTCAACCAAAGATAGATTACTGTGATCTGCTTTAGAAACAAGCTTAGAATATTCTTTTACTAATTCAATTAAACTTTATAATAATGTAACATAGCAACAAGGAGACATCTTGGACTTAGATAATAAATGCAAAGCCTCAGTAAATACAAAACTTCAATATCCACAAACGTATATTATTGAAACATAATTTTTCTCTCTGGATTATCCTCATTTTTACTAAATCCAGCTAAATTAAGGCTGATTTGTTCAAAATGAGTCTGGTTTCAATAAACATGGCCTGATTATTCATATAAATGTAATTGCTCATATAGGCTCTTTTAAATTGGCTGCACTGGAACTTTTCATTAGGAATCTCAGATTGAACTTTTAAAAGGCCTTTCAAGGCCAGGAAAGCCATGCCAATGGCCTGCCTTCAGATCCTGCCTGTGATATATATACATTGGTCAAATTTGTCTCTTTTCCAGGTCACCAGAATATCTAGATTTCTGCACATGCCAAGAGACAGTTTTTTCCATTCACCTGATAAGGTTGCTCTGAACCCAAGAGTCTCCAATTTCTGGAGGAACCAGGCAGCAAGAAAGGAAAAATATTTTAATTTTAACCACAAGTGTAAATTACCAAATTGTTGTAAATCATGAGTAGCTTGAGGAAAAGTGCTTTTTTATATCTGAAAACAAAGATTAGAAGCCAGTAGTGTGTCAGACAAGTCATAAAAATTAGTCATATTTAGTAGCTCATTTAATCCCATATAATTAATCTTTGTTCTGTTTGAGCCCAGTTTTTCCGTTAGTTTCATTGACCTTGGCTGATGATTGAGGATGATAGTGACAGTGATAATTTCAAGAAGTTCATGAAGTTTTTGTTAAGGCTTGTATGATTTGTCCAGTGAAGTGGATGTCTTGATCACTGGAGATTGTAGAAAGTACACTCCAAGTGGGAAACACATTTTCTAACCTTTTCCTTTTCATTGTGAGGGTATCAGCCCTGCAGCCAGGGAAAACTTTAACCCACCGAATAGAAAATGAGGTTTGTCAGGGAGCCAGGAAAAGTCAAGGGGCCATCTTGGACTTCCCATAGTCCTGATTTTAAAAAATATACAGCTATTGCTTATTCATTTTAAATTTCCTGATTTAGGAGTAGACCGTTTCCATGCTATAAGGTCACCAGAATGGCAGAAGTCTGACAATGAGGAGCTCAGTCTTAATGATGTACAAAATTCTTTTCTCAAAGTGCCTTTTTCACAACCCTTTTATCACTTTCTGGATTCATATTAATTTGTCCCTTATTTTTTCCATCCAGAAACAGCCAACTGTAGGACAAAATTATTGGCATCATTATTTTCCTCAACAAAAATATTTCCAGTCTTTATATCTTCTCTCGCTGGCAATGTATCTCCTACTTGCATTACACATTGAAATGTTTCCTATATCATTTTAGTAGTTTTAATTACATATTATAATTTTTAACCCTTAAAAAAAAAAAAAAACCTTGTTCTCTAGTGAGAACTAAGAAGAAAGCAATTGTGAATTGTTTGTCATATTGGCATTCTCTGATTTGCAAATTTAAGAACATATTCTATAACCTCTAAAAACATGCATTTTCCCAAAGCACAATTTCTTTTCTCAAAGTGGCACAAGACATGTGTCTAATAAACACAAACATCTTTAGTTTCCCTCTTGCAAGAAGATAAAAGTAGGTAAATTTAGATTTGTTTCATTTGTAAGCACTTACCTTTCTTTAAGCCAATTAAATAAAGCTCATTTTCAAATTAACCTCAGCAATATTATCCAAAGACAAAGACACATACTGAGACATACATACATCCAAACAAACAGAGATATCTTTGTTTCATCTTTTTATAGTTCATGAATCAGCCATTGCAATTAAACTTACCAGTTTACAAATAACAGTCAAAATAGTCAAATTTACACATTTGATTTTAAAAGGCTTCTTTTTCTTCCCTTTTTTCCTCCCTTGGCTTGAAGTTCTACTAATTAACCCAAGGCTGAAGTCCCAGGCAAAGTGGGCTGTGTTTTTACTTCAAGGACATGATAAGAGTTAACTTCAAGTTTTCTCCTAAGAATATTTTTGTTCTCTCAGGGTTAGTGTTCTGAAAAAAGTATTTTACCAAGCCAACTTTCTATAACTGCACATGGGAAAAGGGCCAGTTTTGGAATTTCCAAAGAGTTTCATCTCAACAAATTTTCTCCAGAGTCTAAAGAATATTGTGACCACAGTGTTAAATTATTTTTTCCTTATTTATAGGTTTATAATTATAGGTTGACCAGTCTGCCAAAATATTCCCTAGAGGGTTGTCAGTTGGAAATGAAGAAGCACTTCCCATGTTGAGTCAAATTAAACACTGCCATACTCCCTCTGAAGACTGTAGGTGAGAATCCTTCCTTGTAGTTTCTAGATTATGGTGTTTGCTGAAAATCTTTGCCATTCCTTGGCTTACATCACTCAAACTCAGCCTCTGTCATCACATGGCCATTTCACTCCGTATCTTTCTTCTTCTTATAAGGACACCAGTTTTATTAGATTAAGGACACACACCACTCCAGTGTCTGAATATAATTAATTATATGTACAATGACCCTATTTCCAAAAAAATGTTACATTTTGAAGTAATGGGGGTTAAGACATTAACATGCCCTTTAGGGATAATTCAAGCTATAGCAAGTTTAATAAATTTTATTTTCATGTCTATCTCCTCCTTTCAAGGATGCTACAAGTTTCTATGTGCCGTGCTTATACTCCGTGACCATTTTCCCTTGACTGTAAGTTGACTGCTCACAGAAGCTAGATGACCTAACCTATACCATTCAGTTTCTCTCCCTGGAGTTTTCATGTGAATTCAACAACACCAGCCTATCTCTCTTTGTTATTTGAACTAATTTCATTTGGACTTAGTGTCTGACTACAATCATGCTGAAGCACAGCTAGTCTTCAGAGACACAAAAAAGAATGTCTTCTTCACATAAAGAACACAGAAATGAGAGAACACGAAAATCCAAGACGAGAGAGAGAGAAAAAAATTGAAGAAATATATGAATCCCTAATGGCTTCATACCCTTTGGTTCTATTTCTTCAGGAAGGTAAGACAATTTCTTCTGATTTATTGAATCATATCAATCATAATCATATTATGCATAAACTGGTCAGAAGTAGATTATTCTTATTTGCAACAACGTGCTTGACCAAATGCCAGGGAAATCATTTTTAAAATGAGAGAAAATCTAAGATTCATATTCCCACAGATATGTAAATAGATGTTTTAACTGTGTAAAAAAATAATCCAATTATATGGACATGGAAAAAAAATGTTAGTTTAAAAAAACTGGAGTGAATGTAAAATTTAAATTACAGAAAACTGAGTTAATTGAAAGGAGTTGAGAAGCTTCCTAGAAATGAAATTACAGGATAATAGGATGTAACGATTTTTAAGACTATTGATCCTGTATCAATATTGCTATAAAGAAGATTGGAAATGATTTCCATTTCCACAAAAATATATGAGAATGTTTTTTTCATCCTAGTCTTTCTAACATTGAGCATTCTGCATTTTTAAACTTTTGCTAATTATGACTAAATGTTTTGCATTTTCTATAAATGGCAAGATTTTGGTTGTCTGGTCTCACAAAATGTTTGCATGTTCAGGAATTATTTCACAATTTTTATTAATTATGACATACATACAGAAAAATTCACAAATTCTACATGCACGTCCCAATGAAAATTTTCAGTAACAACACCTAGGGAACCAGCACTAAGACTCAAGAAAAGAATGTTACCAACACCCCAGGAATTCCTTCATTTACCTGTCCAGAGGTAACAACTCTGCTTCTAACCCATAGAGTAACTTTGCTGTTTTTTAAATCTTACATAGCAAATCATTCAACAAGTGCCCGGTTTTTCTCACTGAATATTACGTTTCTGAGGTTCATGTATATTTTCCATGTAGTCGTAATGCATGCATCCTAATTGTGTTTCCTTATTTGAAATGCCATAATTGTTTTTTTAACTGTACGTGGACATTGAGCTGTTTCCATTTGTTGACTATTAAGGACAGTGGCACTTGAACTGTTTATGATTGTAAATTTCCTAAATTTTTTCTTTTAAGTTTCTTCCACTGCTTTTATGCTTCACGAGTTTTTCTCTATTTGGGAATTATAAACAGATTCACCTATATTTTTCTAGTTACCAAAATAACTTATCTTAAATATTCAAATATGAAATGTGAAAATTAAATTCCACGTGGTGGAATTAGTTTAGTGAGTAATATGCTTTGGGTACAGTTATAGGTACAGCTGAAACGGAGCAGTACCCTAAGGTCCTTGCTCGTGTCCTCCATCTGCCTTTTGTCTGTGGAAAAACTTTAAGTTTCTTACTTCTCTGGTAAGTTTAATCAGAGAAGTGAGAAAATGCAGAAACAAAGGAAAACAGTCAAATGAGACCACATAATAATGTAGTCATTAAGCAAAGTCAAGGCCCCTTAGTTCCCCCTCAAGGGCTGTAGATAATATTCTGAGCCATGTCCTCTGAGCTGTCTTATAGATACTGAAACTCCTACCAGGTGGAAGAAGTTAACTACATGATGACCAGGCTGTAGCCATGACACAAGCTGCCACAGTTCCGAGAATTGGCCTCAAAGAAATGGAAACAAACCGACCTTGGAACTGAAGATTAACTGTACTTAAAACAATCAAGATGACACTGGTCAGACCACCGATGACCGATTTCAAGATGACGTCAGAGCTGACTGTGCTGTTTCTGCATGTAGCCACCTCGCGCCGTCTATAAAAGAAAGGTCTTGCCCCCTGATTGTCAGTGGGGGGCAGTTGGCCTGGCACAGACATTCCCCCCACCCCGGTTGCAGGCCTCGGAAATTTCCTTTCCACCAACCTTGCCTCTTTATTGGCTTTTGAGCGGCGAGCAGCCAGACCCCACTTTTGGTTACACAACTACTATTTTCAAACAAATAGTTAAATAATTGAACCATTAAATAATTACTCCATTTTTGAACCTTTGATTGCCCTTCAGACTTTGTGATCTGGTAAATTATTGATAGATGCATTGTGTTTACATGAGATTTCTCTATTTTGACATTCACAATGATTTTAAACCAAAGACTTAAGGTTTAAAT